AGAATAGGCGGACAGAGTGGTGCTTCCGTCCTAGATAGATGTCACTGTGTTTTAAGACACCTGCGTAGTATAATCAGATGGACTGAAATGGGCCATAATGTAGCTAGTTTAGTTTAAGCCGGAACGCTTACTGTCTGGGAAGGCCTTCTTATAAGCTTCTCACGACGGTGAAAATTAGCCGCGTAACGCCTCCTTTTCGTGGCGTAATACTATAAAGGCATATAGCAGCCCACTGCTATAGGTATGTATCGGCATAATCCATCTTCCTGGCAGCTTATAAGCGGTGGCGGTCTTCTGCTAATCCTCATAACTGTCCATCGGGATCTGCCTCTACGGCGACCCATTAGCTGCCCGTGGTCCTCCAATCTGTACCTTCTCGAGGCGCTTCTGATAGTTAAAATATCTTCCTACGTATTTAGAGGTGTACTGGCCGAGATAGTAGACGAGAATGACTGGCCATCGCCCCCGCTAGCGCTACTCTGGGTTCTGGACACAGGCTTTTCGCTTGAGCTCTGGTACGACATTAGGCAGAGACCGCGCGTTAGCGACCCGGCATATAAGATGATCAGAAACGTAATCAGACACCATAAGGACGCCTACGGTGATGTACACTACGTAGTTTTGTGGGAAGGGTACCTCTGCCCTGGCTAGATATTAGACGAGGACTTATATAGCCACAAACTCGTGAGCGACTATTAGCTTAGGCAGCGGCAGGGTATATGAAAGCACTTGCTGTTATTGGCATCTTGTAGCTACTGGTGAACATAGGCTAGCATTACGGGTAAGCCGGAGACTATATGCGTCTGGAAAAGACTACTAGTGTGGAGAAAGCAGGTTAAGTAACTTTTCACTACGTATGGGTGGTAGTAGAACAGGAAACTACTGATTCTATGGCGATGTAGTTGACTTAAGTGCCCATGATACTGCATAAGAGTCTTGCGTAGAGGGTTATTATTGATCTGTGAATGTAGTCTATGAATTAATCTATTACATGCTTATGTCCTTTTAGTCTGCTGCGAATCGTTAAATGAAAGCCAGAGCGGACTACTGGTGCTGTACTTGAACTGACTATCATCTCCGCCTCGTGGTCGGGGGGCCTCCTAGCCCTGACGTGTCAACTAGTGACTATACCTGACGAACCTCGAACTCGTTATCACCGTGTTCTAGAGACTGTGGAGGGATAAAATCCAGCACATGTAGATGTATTCTCTTCTTTAACGTGACCACAACCTACTTTAGCTCATCAACAAGTTGATTCTCGGCAGATACTAGAATCAAAGTATTGGTGCCGTCTGCAGCCTTATCGTTAAACGAGCTCTGACCTGTCGTGAACTTTACGCCGTTTTCGAACACGGAGGGGTTATCTACCACGTCTTTGAGAGGAAGTGGTCCTGGCTAGAAAGTAAGACGGCCTTTGTTCCCGACCTCAAGCCCGGTCACCTTGCCCGTGTCGTTCGTGACCTTGTATTTTTCCATGTTCTCCGCGGGCTGAAATTTGGTTATCTTAGCTAGCTTAGTCATATCGCTAAACTTGTCGCTGTCCTAAATTGCGTCCTTCATGCGGTTCGCCGGATAGAAGATTACGCGTAAGCGTAGTTTCTATGCTTAGAGTTAGGTCTAATATCGAGAGGTGATGGGTCTCTATACTAGGCTATCGTTAGAACTGTGCGTATTATCTTGCAGCCTCTTGTTTATCGCGTCTTCTATTATTAATGCTTTTCATAGAGTGAGCTGAGTGCGCTGCAGACCTTTAAGAGGGGACCTACGCGGCTTGCCTTTATAGACTAGTACGATCTTTTATGTCCTCGTGGCTACGCGCTCTGTCCGTAGCATGTCTTCTAAGTATCTATCTAAGGACTAGTACCTAAAGCCGCTTATGATTAGAATAACTGTTTCGAACTTTCTATGATCTACGCTCCGGCCGTGAGGGCCGGTGAAGAAAGCGAACCGCGGGCGGAACTTATTCTGATTAACTGCCTGCTTCGTCTGAATAACCAGCCCCGTCTTCCGGCTTCGGCGCACTACGATCGTCTGCCTCTCCAGATCGCCGGCGGTCATGGCCGAAGGAAGAAGCGGCCGGATTAACGTCTTCGTCATTCTGCTCTGTGGGTGGATAAACAGATGAAATACTATTCCCTAGCTGCCGGTCGTCGTCGCTGTGGCAAAGGGATAGCTTGACAAAAGTTGGACGCCGGGGATCCACACGCTGATATACTGACCAGGCCTCGCATGTACTTGTCGAGGCACCACGAGTTCTAGATAAAGCCATCTTCTGTCATGGATTCTCGAGGCCGCAATTTCGGAGCAGATAAGACGTGGCCGATGCCATCCCGTAAAGTTATAGTAACCATACCGACATATAAAGTATACGTTTAGAAGACCTGCAACACCGCCGTAGACGTATAGAGGCAGCCTGCTGAAGCTCGGATCCGCGAGCACTCGGCTTAGTAGCAGGTACGTAAGTAGCGCTGCAGAGATCTCATGCACCTTGAGAAAGACCTCGTACGCGACCGTTTTGGCAAGCGACGCCGTTGCGAGAGCGGCCATGCAGGCAATGATCTAAAGAGTAAGAAGGCGCCCGGGAAATGTGTCTCACTCTTGGAGGGGACGTACCATGAGCCCGAACCGACCCTCATCGGTCTCCAGGGCTCTGCGGGGGTCGTCCGCAAGCGCCACTGTGACGGAGAACAGAAGGAGACACAGAGACAGCAGCCCCGCCACGCGATGGACCTGCCGGAATAGTTGCAGCGATACTCCAAAAACATCTGCGACGCCGTAGTGGTGCGGGGAGATGTAGATGACGGTTAGATTCAGCAGCGCGAGGTACTTGGCCCGGGCTACGGCGTCGGCTAGTGTGGTGAGCTGCACGCAGAAGGCCGAGGTTGCTGTTCTCGCAAGTTCTAGCGAGAGAACAGCCGCATGTAGAGCAAGGACAAACGCGTACGTGATGACTTTACAAGTGTAGAGTGGGCCGACGAGGGAGTGCCGCCGTAGCAGCCGACGAAACTGCAATTTGTGAGCGGCACGGCGAAGCACGCACCATATCGGCGTTACGAAATAGCAGGCCGCCACAAGCAGATGACATAGTAGCAGGGAAGCACAGGCAGCGAACAGGATAACGGCATATATTTCGTATAAACTTGGCACTTTCATGATGGGCTATAATGATCGAGGCCCTCGTCAGGACCCTCAGCTATCTTATATAGTTTCAGGCTCGCCACCTCAGCGGTGTAGTAGAGAGCAATAAGCGACCGCTTGTAGTCTAATAACATGTCGGCTAGAATTTAATCCTTCGAGGTTAGCTTATGTCTAGTCGACGCGTATGGTGTACTTACTCCACGAAGCTGGGCGACGCCCTTAGCACTGGCAGCACAGGCGATAAAATTTAAGAACGCATACTACTAAGCGCTGTCCCGCACTCCTGACCTGGCGTCCTTTTACATTAGGTGTAAGGCAATATCGCTAACAGCGGCCGCGTTACGACTCTTGATCTCGGCCGTTAAGGGTATAAGCTTTTCTTAGTTCGCTTTAGAAGTTAGACCTCGTGTAGTTTCTCCGGCCGCATCAGGGGGACCATACCTAGCTTCACATTTCCGCGGCGGTCTATAAGTATGTTCCTACATTGAAGGCTGCTATAGCCTAGATGTATGGCATAGAGGAACATCAGCCCATCTAGTACCTAGCATTGTAAGCAGGGGAATTGTCCTATGCGGGCCGAGGGGTTATGCCTAGACAAGGATTAAACGCAGCTGCCCGTCGCTTAGATGTGTTAGATAGCGAACGAAGTGGTGTAGACATAGTGTTATCTCTTCTATGACTATATAATGTAAACCTTGGTAGTTAAAAGCCTCCACGACCTCGACGACGTTCCTGTGTTGGAGCTGTAAGTATAACTAAACGGTACGCTGGTCTGGAGTAGTAAACTACCTAATAAGCACGACACGCCAGGCGCCCACAGCGACGGTGGCGTCGCCATCAAAGTCTAGAGTGGTGTAGGCCTTCTTGTACCGGTCCTTCGCCCACGGATTTCCTTTAATAGGAGCGCGGACCGCCATAACTTCTTTTACATAAACAGGTTCTTGTTTCGGGGCTGGTGCAGCTGCGGGCTAACAGACGACTCTAGGCGGCGCTAGACGCCTTATAGGTGGTACGGGGGGAATAGCGCTATGAATGTCGCTTGCGCGCTCGCGCTGGCCACCATCGTCGCCACCGTAGCTATTATCGCTATCGTGGACACCGTAGCCATCTTTGCTGACCTGGAACTGTGTAGTCGGTCTCATGCCCATGGTTTCGTCCGTTACGTGGCCCGTTACACCTGGAACTAGACTATATCGCAGGTTTTATACCGCTAAGAGGAGTAGCTTTTAGCTACGGCGTGCTTACGATATAAACTGCTACTATCCCGAGTAGCGATAGATAGCGACTAATGACCTTCACCGGGACAATGCCCTGAGGACAAGACAAAATCAACTTGCCGGATTAGCTGCTGCGTTAGGAAGACACGACCGCCTACTGCGAGCTCCGCCACTACCATCTGAATAAGGACAAGAAGGGTATGAGGATTTGGCTTACCAGGCTCTCCACGGATCACGCCCGAGTCTACGCGAAGCGACTGATATTTAAGGCCCCCGAGTACGCAGCCACGCTCAATCCCCTTCTAGCCTTGCAGGGTCTGCGGGCCGGCTTTTGGCTAAGGTTGATGCATAAAGTCATCAGCCTCCGGTTTTCTAAGGTAATATGCGGTAAAGTGTCCGCGCCCGCCCGCTAACTCTTTTAAAGTAGGTACATTTGTACTGGCAACATATTGGGATAACCTAGAAGCTAATTGCCGAGGGCGAGATGCTTACCGCGGCTGACGTGGGTTTGCTAGAGGGAAAATGTCCCAAGTATTCCGAGAGCGACGCGTCTAAGATCGCTGCTCTTATTAAAGATGGATCCTTATTCCCTAACGCGAATCCGCAGTGGCGTGCCGGCCTGCTAGGACGCCTAAAAGATCTGCTATTAACGACGATACGCTCTCTTAACACATTTTTTAACGATCTTCGGCTAATGGAACAGTTTATACCCTATATATACCACATAGTAGATAAAAGGCCCGGAGAGTCGTGCGATTTAATCTTGCAAGGCGCATACCGTAAGCCTTTAGGCTTCGAGACTGCGAGACGAGTACTATGGCGATTCCTCTTATAACATTTCACTAAATTGCCGCGACTCTCCGCAAGACTGAGAAGCCGTCTCCTCGCTAAGCAGAGGCCTGGCCGGCCGGATAAGGAGAGGCTTCATGCCCTAGCGACCCTTGCACATGACCTGGGCTTTAAATCCGATAAGATTACGTAACTGAGACGGGTATCTATAGAGAAGCTTATCGCGAAGTATGCGCTACTACAAGCGCTTAAGCCACCTGACTTTAGAGCTAACAGCTCTCATTTCGAGAGTATCTAGGATGCTATGGTAGAAGTCTGTCGCAGGGTACCGAAGATGCCGCGCCCTATATAGTCTGGTAAACTTGTCAGCAGTACACCGCAGAGGCCTGTTTATATCTCAGGCTTTCCCGATCTTCTTTTATATGAGCGTGAAAAGGAGTATCTAAGCGAGTGGGATGCTGATTTTCTACAGTCCCCGCCGCCGACCGGCTGGCATATAACAACGCTCTTCCGCTTATAGTCGCTTTGTCACGCCCTCTTTGATCTTCCGATAGACTTAGGTAGCGAGAAAAGGACAGGGCGGAGAGAATCCTAGGAAACGATTATGCGTGAGGATTCCGGAGATTCTTTCCAGCCGAGCGAGTCAGAGGAAGATAAGGAAGCTAGTGATCGCGCTTAAGATAGGGAGTCCATCACTTTCTAATAACAACCGCATGATGTTGTATTTATAGAGCTCCGGAAGTTAAAGTAACGCGTTCTGGGCCGAGTGGAATCGCTAAATAATGAAAACGTTCAGAGAGAGGCGAAGGGTCTCTATGGCAGCCACTTTCTGGCCGCCATCAGTGCAGATGGCGTGATAGGTTTTATCGCTCTAGAAGACTGCCTCCATAGCGCAGCGGCTTCGGGGATTAACACGGTGTTAGCGATTGCTATAGACGCTACTGCGTACGATATTGACACGATTTCGTACCATGCTAGATTGTTATATTAATAAAACGGCTAAGCTAATGCAGAAGCGAGCAAATGCGTCTTGCTTGGTGAGATTCAATCGGGGGCGGCGAGACATTAACAGCCGAGGCTATTTGATGCCTAGTCTGTCGTATTTTTAGGCACTTGATCAGTAACTGTCTGTAGTCCTTTTATTGTCGCCGCCGTGCCGAAATGTCGCGTCGGTTTCCGGAATTTTGTGCGAAATTTAGCCAAAGCCTACATAAGATAAAATAGTTCTCCGAGAAGTCTTATAGCTACTATGCTCCGCAACGCGTTTTCGGGGATTGCCACGGTCACGGTGGTTGTCGTTGGCAACGTTATATATACCATAGATAATATAGATGATAGAGACACTATGTTATATTGTGCTACAGTTATCTTAATATATATACCTACATAGGCCAAGCTAATAAGAAGCGCACGACTAGGCTCCCCCACTGGCCAGTAACTAGATTAGTGGTAGGCCGTTCATGATACAGGGTATTGAGTAAAGTGATGTCGCCCCTGACTTCGTCTTAATGGGTTCCTAGCAGGTGTCCACTACGATACGGCTATGTAGAATCTAGTAAGATGACAATCAGACGGAGCTAGAGACAAACGGAACTTGATCAATTATTGCTATGGAGCATCACTAAACTACTCTTCTGTTTACGACTTAAACCTACATTATAGCGCGATCTATGCGAAGCCGCCGCGTGGTCGTCGTTGGTTTAGTAAGAAGAATAGAAGAGTATGCAGAATATGCGTGGAAACGCAAGTTTCTTTTAGAGTTCTTCTCCCTCCTCCTCCTTAACAAACACGGACTTACCAAACATCGCGGCCCTGTTTGCCACCATATCTGCATGCATACGTGCGCCACCTTACGCAGCGCGCCAAGCAAGAAACTCAGCATACTCGGCCGCCTCCTTGGTCGATTGGGCGGCACCTAGAGGGTTACTGTTATGTGACGCCGGCGCCGCGAACGCGACCGTCTTCGCGTTCTTCCCTTTCGCTAAGGCAGGGCTAGCCTTATCGCCCCTGCTTGCGTTAAGCGCCGGCGTGCTATAGCGCTAGACCGTAGGCGAGCGAGAGTTCCTAGCCCTGCTAGAAGGTTTACCATAGTTCTCCTAGTTCAGGACATAGGCCCGAAGAATAGCGAGATCTAGCTTTGGGATAGACGTGCCTTCTTCTAAAACTACATCACTATTGAAGCACAATTCCTCGTTAAGAGTGAGGACACCGTGACTGTCCGGGAAAATCTGGCCTAGCGCACTGCGACTGAAGAAGGCTAAGCGTTTTTTCGTTTTTCCGTTTATATCACAATCCCCCTTTACGGCGTATTAGATCTTAACTTAGAACCACGGATACTTTAGTGTTAGGACACCCATTTTATGCTTAACCTTCTAATTCTTTCTCAGCAAAACCTGGTAGTCGCAACCCGGTGCCACAACGACGCCTTAGATGCCAGTCAACTCAAAAGTTCCTGGCTTAGGTCTCTGATCAACCACGCGCTCGAGCTCTAGGTCTTCGCAAGCCCTTAGCGATGCCCTCCTCGCCTTATACACCCTGTTGCCGCGATCGGGCCCACGCTGATAGATGATATAGTAACCACGCCCGCGCTTAGTAAAGCATAGATCTTTCCCATCGGCTGGAGTGATACTAAACAGGCTTCCGGAGGTCTCTATAGGTATGATGACATCGGATTCGTAACCAGAATAATCATTACTATTAACAAAGAGACTACTCTCTCGCGGTTCACTACCCATTCCTCTTCTCACTTCTACTTCGTACTTGGCTAACTGTCGCTGCTGCTATTGCAATAGTTCGAGCTCTGAAGTTTTTAGTCCTTACTCTGAAAGTTCCGGCTCCTGCTCCTTGTACTCCTCTGGATCGTCAAGATCCATCATCTCATACTCCTCTAGTTCATTTTTCAAGTCTTTGATCTAGGCCAGCGTTGGCTTGACCGCTTTGTGCTTGTCTCGTAGACGTTAGGCTTCTCTTTCTAAGGCTGCGATTTATAATTTTAGTGATTTCACTTCTTTCACTCTTACAGCCTTTATGATCTTGTTTTTATTAAGCACTAGAGCTATCTTAGTTATGAGAGTTTTCTTATTAGTTCTTCTATTAAAGAAAGAGCATGGCATTTATCAGCTATTTATACTAAGTCCGAGGAGCCAAATGTCGCCTGCGATGTCTAGAAAGAGCTACACAGCCTTGAGCACACTCCAGGCACTGTGCTTGTGGCCTCGCAGGCCTTCTAGAAACAAAGCTGTGAACCCACCATCCTTATAAGCATCTAGTTCTTCATCCTCGGAATTACACACATGAACTTTCTGCGTTGCGTCAGAATAGTACATAAGGCTAGTTTCTACTTTCTTATCGACTATTACTATAAAAGCGGCAGGGTCTTCCAGCCACTCTAGCTAGAGCTTGTTCTTGTGTAGCCTGATGTACATCCGTATAGGGGGGAAACTCAGAATAGAGATCTCTGACAGTTTTTCGTCCCACTTCGGTGGCTTTTCTCCGTCGCGTCGGAGTGAGTGTAGAAGTTCCTTAAGTACATCGTCGGCGACGGTGTAAGGAGCATCGGCTGTCTGACACACTAGACCTAGAACTAGTCGGAAGCCTTCACCTGCCGCGATATCTTTAAGGGTGCTCTCCTCGTAGGTAGCTGCTTTAATGTCAATACCACTAAGAACTAGGACTAGGCCTTTGTCGAGCATTTTTTTATGCCACTTATCGTTAGGCTAAGCAACTGCCT